AATCGTAATTTTCAACACAAATAATAGTCTCGCTACCTTAATACACGAGCAGGAATTTAATAGTCATATATTGCTTTATATTGAATATCACAGACAATTACAAAGCATATCAGTCATGACATCATCGTTAAAATAGACAAATCTTGAATAATTCTAGCGAAAAAAATTCATGATTTACAGCCATATTTATGAAAAGTGATTTATCTTAAATAAATGTTTCTTTTCATCCTCCATGACAAACAAATCACCTTGCCTTGGAGGGTCATGCTCTTATGTTCAGTTATATTCATTGTTTTTCTTTACTGAAACAAACAAAATGAATCATAGACTTGTGATTGGTTTTTATTTTTTTTTTATTAAATTTAAAATATGTAACAATTTTCGTTTTGAATTAATTTTAGCTGAATGGATGATTTAGTGAAAATAAAATCCAGCAAGTTAACCTTTTTCCCTATATTTTACTTTCAACTCATCAAAAATCTGTGAAAATGAAATCAATTTAAAAAACTCAAAAGTATTTTCAGTGAAAATCAATTCCAGCTAAAATAAATACAGTAAGCTCTGTCACGTAGACCCAAGTATCAAATATAGTGTCTGAGGTAATTCTGAAGTTAATAACAGTAAAAAATAACAGATGACTATTAAAGTATTGTATTTTAAATGTATCCTTATCTCCAACTACTGGTAATATTTTTAAATAGAGTCTGAAAGGAAAAAGTATACGGATTTCCGATGATAGCAACCCACACTTTAATACCTCATGCATTATTAACAGTATTCATAGGCTCTATAGTTGCAATCTGTTCAACAAATAGATCAAATAATGAATTAAAAAACAAAAAATACTGTCCAATAGGTCAAAAACAGTCATATTTTTTCAGTCAGACAACTTTACAATACACTGTGAAATTTTTGCTGCTAGAAGTTTTTCTGATTTGAGAATGTTAAGGCAATCATAAAGACAAATGTTGCGAGAGTCACTGGCACTCTATTTTATAAGACAGCGAAAACAATTTTCATTGCTACAAAATTTCATGATTTTCCCCGACTAAAAAAATGTGTCTCTTATTACAATTGTAACAATTTGAATGCCATGATTGTTTCCCGCCAATATTTAGGTGCAACATTTTGCCTATTTTAAGGTAATTTTTAGATAATTTTGAACCAAATAGACATAATTTTCTACTGGCTACAAGTGTTAGTCAAAATTTTGGAAAAAATATGAAAAAATTATGGAGGTTGTAATTTGTGATGTCGACAATTGTTGACATTTGTGCTCAATGGGTTAAAGTGCTTTACAATAGATCAGAAATCAATTACCGCAATTAATGTTGTAATGAGAAATGAACAAATTACATACAAATTTTAGCAAGCAAAAAAGGCGGAAACAACTACCAAAAACAGCACATACCGTAAATATGTAGATTAGCTTTATGCAGTAAATATAAGTCTTACAGCTATACAGGAAGGATGCATAAACTAATATTATTAAGTCATGCAGTCTGTACATTCAGATATCATCCTACTACATAAATGATTTGAAAATATACATATATCGCTCTAGAGAGAAAAACCTATTTCTCTGCAATAATAATGTTCTTGTGTCTATCAAACTGCCGCAGTCATGGAAACCAACTGAATTGGTGTTTATATAGCTCAGCGCTTCCCTTGAGGTGATAGATGAATTGAAGAACATACAGACTATTCTATACAAGATTTTGCTTACTTCAACTATAATTGATCAATTCCCCAAATATCTACATTTTTTTGAGACGATCTTTGACCTGTATCATAGTGGTAACGTAATTCATAGCATACACAAAATCAAAGCTGAGAAAAAAATGATCACCAATTGCCATGACAACCTGAGCCATAATTCATAGTTATAAGTGCAGTAGACAAAACATGATGTTGAAAACAAGTTTAAGTGGTTTCCATGGTTACAAGAGATCAGGGATTGAAAAGATATGGCAGTCAATATAAGCAATTTTCAAAAAGACCTGCAATACCTGAGATGTATTTATGAATTCATTGACATTTCCATCAAAGAATTATGATATACATTTTTTTTATAATGATTTTTTATTGATCAGATGCAGTAATCTTCATAAGTCATATGTTTTCAAAAAAAAATAATCATTACAATGACATACAATTTTGTTATATATCACTTAACAAAAGGTAGAAGTAAATGAAGTATCGATTCAGAGAGACATTTTGGATTACAATATATGTTTAATAATACCCTGTATAAACCAAACAACTGTTCATAGTCTTTGTGACATGCCATGTTCAATATCAGTGAAGTGTTAAAAGGACGTAATACTTGCAGCATGCTGATGCTTGAAAATTCTCTGTCTAATAACTTATATAACACTGAAAAGTCGTATACACATCAAGGATTTAAAAGATGAGTGTAAAAAGTGGTGAAAAAAGTGATAAATATCTCACAAGAATTGAAGATCTCACAACAACTTAATATCTCATGAAAACTGAAGATCACACAAGTCTTGAAGATCTCACAAGATTAAAGATCACACTAGAATTGAAGATCTCACAAGAATTGAAGATCTCACAAGATCTGATGATCTCACAAGAATTGAAGATCACACAAGAATTGAAGATCTCACAAGAACTGAAGATCACACAAGAACTGAAGATCTCACAAGAATTGAAGATCTCACAAGTATTGAAGATCACACTAGAACTGAAGATCACACAAGATCTGAAGATCACACAAGATCTCAAGATCTCACAAGAATTGAAGATCACGCAAGAATTGAAGATCTCACAAGAACTGAAGATCTCACAAGAATTGATAAGAATTGAAGATCTCACAAGAATTGAAGATCTTATGAGAACTGAAGACCTCACAAGAACTGCATGAAGACCTCACAAGAATTGAAGATCTCACAACAACTGAATACTAGTATCTCACGAAAACTGAAGATCTCACAAGAATTGAAGACCTCACAAGACTGAAGATCTCACAACAACTGAATATTTCATGAAAACTGAAGATCTCACAAGAACTGAAGACCTCACAAGAACTGAAGACCTCAGAGGAATTGAAGATCTCACAAGAATTGATGATCTCACAAGAACTGGAGATCTCACAAGAATCAAAATTCTCCCGAGAACTGAGAGATGATCACAAAATCGCACTTAAAAAAAACAGAAATTTCTAGAAAACCAAAATGAACCTTTGAATGAAGTTGTTATCTTGTACATTTTTCTCAATGTCCTTTTCAAAGCATCTATTATGCATGTTTTGCATTTTTGAATATGAAGATAATTTTGTGCATTTTTGTTAAATACACAATTAAACAATTCAAAACGTTCATTACTCTAGAAATGCATTTAATTCATGCATGTTTTTCATCACGTTTAACCATACCTTGATATCTAAGTTACATTCCTATATCTTATAAATCAGTGTTAACACAATTGGTGTACAACAAAAATGATCAAACTCTTTTTTTCCAGTCACCATGGAAACCATTAACATTTTCGCTACATATGAATGTATCTGTAAATCAATACTTTTTTTGAGAGCCCTAAATTGTCACCATGACTACGATGTAATGACAGCCAAAGAATGATCTATCATCATACACAGAAACATCTTTGATGCATTGGTGAATTTTATCTTTCAGTTTCTATAGAAACAGATACTTCCACACTTGAAACCATGTCAGAAGTATGTTAATTGCTCAGAATTGTGAAAATAATCCCTCAATTCAGTGAACAATTAAATTTTGCAGTATTTCAGGATTTGATTTCTGATCAATATCTAGAGGGACGAAAAAAACGAGAGAAAAATATGGATTATCAAAACACTTGTATATATATTACGTACATTGTACTTTCTTTATCGATGGTCACAATTAACTGTGCATGACACATTTGGGGCACAATTATGGTTTTATTTAAAAAGAAAAAACAAACATGCGTCCTCCATACCTTTACATATTATGTTTCGTGAAATCAGAGAATTTAATTTAGATAACTGATTTGTTGAGCATCCAGCTTTATTATATTCTGTGGAATCTACGTAGTGTTCATTACGTTATCGCATTTGAAGAAGAAACTAACATTCTTGCTATTAAGTTTTCAAATGTTCCACAGTGTTTTTTTTGTTTTAAAGCGGGGGAGTCGTCACCTGCGCATGCGTCAGATGGCCATAGCGTGTCATTGTTTACAAACAAGCTTCTACCCATGAGCCTTTGCATTTTCAGAGTGCGTTGTTATCGTCGCTTGGGACTTAATTACCGTGCATGTGCAGGTGAGGACTCTCCCGCTTTAAATAACAGTTCTATTTACAATGTAACAAATGTATCTTCTACTGGGGTGACAAGGTGCATTACTGGAACATTGTTCTGCCATTTCAGCATCTGTTCATTCACCACAGAGTAAAATTATAGACAGTATGTGTTGTGTGAAACCTTACAGTATTTGTATAACAAAAGCAGGTCTGCCTGATCCAGTGATGTAATACGTCATACATGTATCTATGTTGCTACTTCCATTATTTTGTTTCAAAGAGTTACACTAACAAAGAAAAGGTATACACAGAATTTTCAAATTGATTTGCCTTCATACTGCATGTATTTTTTCAGTGTCTAAAAAGTATGTTAAATTCCTTTTCAAAAATGGAATCGTGATCGGCAGCGGTACCGTGTATACATGTATGCACATATACTGTATGTTTCTTATGTTGGACCTTACTCAAGCATTGTTTTTGTGTACGTTCCAAATAATATATCCTATAATCCTATCCTACTGCCTACATGTATATCCTCGATCTTGCATTCACAAGTGAGGGACTGTGATAAAACATAGGCTAATAGACACTTCATATACATAATAAAACAGTAAGCGCTAAATCAGATTCCGATACAGTCTCCATAGGCAGTGAGTAATGCAAATAGATATATACTCAAAAGCATGTATATGTATATCCCATAAATAAACATATGATGTCTGAATGGCCTGCTCTGTGTTTGCAGAACAATTAATTGTACTATTGGAGCTGTTTAACATAACAAAGAGACTTGGATAAATTATGTGATTTTTGTGCAATATGCCATCTTGTGTAAGTTAGTACTTTTGGTGAAATTGCTAAGTTTTGTTAGTTATGCTAACTTTCTAGGAGACAGTCTAGTATATCAGATACTTGTATATTTATAAAGTATGATTGGAATGGTATGCATATATTTGGAGATGGATTAGTTGTGAGCTCCTGCCAAATAAAAAGAATTGTTTTATTGCATTTTCACAAAAACTAATTAATTAATGTACAATAAATATAATATCCAAAGGATATGAAAATATGAATATTTTGACACTTTTTCAACAAAACAAAAATCATTTCAAAATACTGATTTGTTGTCAGAATTTTTAAATCTTTCTTTGATGCTGTTGGTTTCCTAAGAAACAATAATTCTGAAACTTCAGATCATTTTTGTTTTCACTGGGGATGCTTACTATATAAATTAGACTGTTGTTGTTTGCTACAATCGTTAGAGAAAACATTTTGTTTGAATACATATCCTAATTTCTGCCCTCTTTTTTTATTGGTAGATTTTTGAAAGTTCCAGAGAAATCACCTCGAGCTCACATTTACATATTTACAAATGTGCTTACTACGGAACATAACAGAAAAAAAAAACTGTTCAGAAATTTAACGATGGCAATCTGTTTTTCATTTCCATGTACACTAGGTTTGACCAGTCTAGTGTTTGTTTTTCCTTTGAGGTAGCCAGCAATTAAAATCTGTCCAATATTTTACATAGTCAGACAGAAATTTGATCCAATCAAAGTTGGTCATGTTTGAGATTGCTACAAGCGGTTATTTGTTTGTAATATTAACGAATAGCCATTATTTTTTATAAAGACAAAACTGTCATTACCTGGGAGTGCATTATTGTACCACACAACAATAGAAAACATAATATACCAGAGATATATCAAATAAAATCGATATAAAATTCATAAACAACGTAAACAAACACTTTCTTATTTTCTTTCTCTAGAATCCATATCCTACCTTTCCTGTTGCTCCATCCTGTTGAACGATTGCCATATTTTCCTTAGACTAAAAGCTAGACTCTTACATCAAAGGTGCTGGGACAAGTATATATGCGTGCACTACCAGTAGTTATCAACGTACATGCTCGGTGGCCAGTTCTCATAGAGGAGTTAATTAATCTATTTAAAGACTAAACAACTAATCAAACATTCTAGTCTATTAACTATCCTAAATACACTGCAAGCAGATTGTTGCTGTCAGTCGATTTATCTTCATTTCACATTAGGTGACCTATATTGTACGTAGTATCAATGTACATAACATCTGTGCCATATCACAGTACTTTTATCCTGGGGTCGTTATCTGACATACTTTTGCCAGTGTAACAGATTAAAGCACGGAAAATAAAGTGGTTTACATAAATCAATATCAAACAAAATTTATTGGACATGCTTGGCTATTATCATCTGAAGTGAATTCAGACTCCATGAAGAGTGTCATTAATTTTTCATTAACTAAGACCTTTGTATCTTTATGTCAGTTTAGAAGTACTGATTGACAGGGTCTCTTAATCGTATATAACTATGTATACATGTACGTCTCATAATTGCTGTAGGATTTAATGATGTACATAGCATATACTCGTCAGACTATCAAATCTCCCGGAGATCACGCAATACATTCTTAGAAGAGCTCTGAAATGAACATTAAATTAACAAACATATTCGTACACGAACTGAACAGTTGATCATGTGACTGAAAAAACAACGTACATGTACTTTCTATTGATATATCATTTATATATTCAAGTCACTGTACGTAGTGCAGGGGAGTGCATGATGACAGTTGACTAGTAATCAAAAGGAGGCTTAGAAAAAACTGTGGGCTGAAAGTATTGGAGACACATTCAATATTAAAGATTAGTGACCACCTCATATAAAGACCACCTGCCTATAGTGACCACCTCATATAAAGACCACCTGCCTATAGTGACTGCCTATAGTGACCACTTTCAGGCTATAAGGCATAACATACAAGCAACTTGTTTATAAAGACCACCTGTTTTATGTGACAATCTTTTCAGTAACATTGCAAATTCTTCCTTTGTTTAGAGGCCAAAATAATAATTAGCCTTCTGTTTATGTAAAAAAAAAAAAATTTTATTTTGATCAACTTGAATAAATGTGTTGCAACAGTACCATCTCATTAATTTCTAGGTGTATATTATGTTGAGTATGAGTTGGCATTCATAAAAAAAATTATCTAACCTAACTAGATTTGACAGTTTGTCTGAGATAAACCAAGAAGTTCTAGAGAAAAAAATACATAGAAATTTGAAAAAAGTTTGAAAAAATGTTGGAAAAATGTTGGCATTTAATTAGTAATTCATGTAATATTTTATTTTTCTCCTGTTGCTAAGAGTAGTCATAACTACAGGTAAATGCATTCAAAAGTTAAATAGTGTCAAGGGTAAATAATATAAGGGCATGCAAACTACATAGTCATTGTCTTTTCTGTTCAAATGTAAGAATTTTGACAATATATCCTATAATATAAGGTTATTACAAGGATACCTTAAAGTATACAAAAAGACAGTACAGCTCGAGTATCGACCGACGCACAGCGGAGGTTGATTCACGGCGTACTGTCTGAGTGCATACTTTGAGGTATCCTCGTAATAACCTTATTATTATACATCCTTTCCCTCCAAGGATACAACATTGGGAATACCAAAATCCAAAATGTTTAGAACAGAATCAGTGAACTTCTTTGTGTGGAGTCCATTCAAACTCTGGTGGCAGCCGTGTTTGTTCTTATTATTACAGGACGCTTACGCATGTAATCATTCCATATTT